TCTAAAATCAATAAAAACATATCCTCAGATGAGGATTGGGGGAAAAAAGTTATATAAAGCAAAATCATATGTAGAAACATTTTATGACTAAGATTATAAGATGCCCTGGTTTGCACAGGACAGTAACCAACTTTCCCATGTTGATTATCAAAAGCACTTCCATTTCATTCTAAACAGTGTTCCAGCCCGGATGACAAACTGCACTGCCGTCCTTCTGATAGAAATGGCGGTTTTAACCAGGTATTTGTCAAACAGTTTACACAGTTCTGATGCAGAGCCCCCCACCCCGGGGGAAAAATGGTCTCTATTCAGAATTTTCTCCGACTTTTACCTGTGGACAGAATATAGGCCAATTTCCTGAATATTCACAGAACATGGTTAACCGTGACCCTTGCAAACTGGCATCTAAATATTAGGCTAGAAATTGACCCAACTCACCAATAAGTCAGGAAAACTAGTATTTGCAGGGATGAGGCAACGGTTCCTAAACAAGTTAGTCATCAGATCCCTTAGGGGTTATAAAAAATACATAGATCTCCACACCCCACCTTAGATCTACTGAAGGTCTACACAGTGAGACCCATAAATCTACTTTTTTTAAAAGCTTCCCAGGAAATTCTGATGTTTACCAGGTTTGAAAACATCAGGGGGATGTTGACTATCTTTTCCCCGAAGTTCTCTTCCTGAATGATGTTAACTCATCAAGGTAAACAAACAAATACTTAGATCTACATCTCAGCTCCTCCAAAAACAACTGTAAGGGCTTACACTCCTGTTAAAGTGCACAGAAGGCCCTTGAGAGAAACGTCCATTTAGAAAAGTATTTCTCTATCTCTTACCAAAAGAGTTTTTTATAAAATACAGTCCCTATAATGTTGGTCAACACCCTTGAAGTTCTTTGCAAACGGAGTACTGTAGAAGTAATTTCGTTCCAGATGTGTCAATAACTCAACCTGATTCCTGTTTTGCCTTGGCCAGAAAACTCACAGCTAAACGTCGTACACAATTTCAGAAACCACCTGATTTAAAGGTCGGGACACATCTCTCTTTTGTTCTATGTTCATAAACCTTATTACGTGTGTTCTTATGTTTTAAATACTGTAAATACATTTGGTGTTGTAAATCAATTTAAATTCTCTTTACAAGGAGGTGAGATAGCATAAATGAAATAGTATTATATGGAACAAGATTAGAATAATGAAGTTTGGGGTTCAAGTTGAATCTCAATGTCATGGGCCTTTAAGAACCACCAATGGCTGAGGCCAAGTGAAACTGTATGATTTTATGTAGGTTGGCCTGAAAACCCCAAGAACGTGTCAAAATGTTGATTGCTCTGCGACCATTTTCTCAAGGAAATGTGGCAATAAAGTGGGATTCAGGTACATGTAGAGGATTTGTGCCTTAATCAAGCTTCATTTCATGCTCAGTGCAAACGGAAGCTCTTAACACTAAGCGTGGCAGTTCAAAGAGACTTTTTGCTCTCGGTCTAAAAGAACCATCATTTCTTAGGTAGGAACATGGTTAAAAAGCAGATAGCAAAACAGAATACCTTAATGTATCAAGAAGTCACTGAGCCTTTCAAAAGTTTCCAAACAAGCCCCAGGAGCCCCGTGTGCAATCACACCACCCATAACCTATGTCCTAGCCTATTGCCCAGGCTACGGGGACCTGACCTTCCTCTCTGTAAAGGCCAACACCAGCTTTCCTCTCCTCCGTGGAGCAAGGCAAGGCACAGCCTAAGGAATGAGCACGGCCTGGAAGCCAGTACAAGCCTGGTCCCAGCACAAAAGCAATTCCTTGGTGCTTTCCCCAGTCCTGACCAGCAGGACAGTGTGACCTCTGTGGTTAGAATAGATGATCCTCTCCTCTCAGTCACCTGCCAGGCTGCAATACCTTAAGGCCATTCTTCTCCCCCGTCTCCTCCTCAAAGACAAACCAGCCCCTTTGATATCCACAAAGGGGGGGAGGGGGCCTCTGGTTAGGGGTCATGACATGGCTTGGTAAATTTCAGGCCAGGAGGCTCAAGCATTCACTTACATGCTATTCCCTTTGATCCATCCTCTCCCTCCTACCTCCTTAGATCAGCGGTGACCAGCTGGAGTAGCTAATATTTCTCAAGTAATGGATTTCACAGAATGAGGGAGTGCAGAGCAAGGGCCATTAACACCTAATGAGCCTTCATGGACATTTCTAGGTTTTCAATAATCTGACAGATGAGCCCTGACCTTTATGACATGATGTAAACCTCAGTGAGTCTGGATATAACACTCTTGAAAAATCAGAAAAGACCCTCTGGCTACAGAGTATCTATTATTAAGCATCCCTTAGGATATTGAGCAATTCGCCACAAACCCACAGGCTATCTTAGCGAAGGCTTCCCCAGGACTCAAGAGGAAAATGAGCAGCTCCTCCCACAAGAGCACCCCTATCTCTGGCCCCACCCCTTCCTGTCTTTTGTCAGTTGCTGGGAGAGAAAAACAGTCAACATACACTCAGCAGCAATTTGGACCTGGGTGTGGATTCTCTGAAACCTTGAAAGCAACTAGAGGAAATAAGAAATTGACATAGAGCCCAGCTGCCTGGCTCAGTGGTTGAGCGTTGACCTGTGAACCAGGAGGTCACGGTTGTATTCTGATAGTGGTTGGGGGCTCCATCCCCAGTGTGGGAACGGAAGGAGGCAGCTGATCAATGACTCTCTCTCTTCCTTCCTCTCTGAAATCAATAAAAATATATGTATGTTTTTAAAAAAGGAAATTGACACAGAAAAACAAAAACTCAAGGGGATAGACAACTGTAGATTTGGAGCAGAAAAAACTCAGGGGGAGAGTGGCCAGTGTGTGCATCATCAGGGAGTCCAAAGTAGAAGTTAAGAAACTGGGAAAGGAAGGAAGCTAATTTATGTCCATTTAAAGTTGAAAAGCTGGATTGAAATGTTAAGTCATCACAATAACATAGATGAAAACACTGAGGAGCAAACGTAGCTACACACAACATATTCTGCATGATTCTGCTCAGAAACAGGCAAAATCAAGCTTTGGTGTTCAGGAGGCATAGCTGGGTGGTGAAACTATAAAGAAAAGCAAGGTGATAAGCGTAAGTCATGATAGGGTTATGGGTAGTGAGCTTCTGGGGCTCTGGCAATGTTCTATTTCTTGACCTGGGTGGTGGTGACTATACAGGCATTTATTTACTTTATAATCGTTTGCTATGCAATTATATTTTATGACTTTATTTCACAAAAAATAAGTTAAAACAAACACACACACACACACACACACACACACACACACACGCCCTAGCCAGTTTGGCTCAGTGGATAGAGCATTTGCCTGCAGACTGAAAGGTCCCAGGTTCTATTCCAGTCAAGGGTACATGCCTGGGTTTCGGGCTTGATCCCCAGTAGGGGGCGTGCAGGAGGCAGCCAAGCAATGATTCTCATCATTGATGTTTCTATCTCTCTCTCCCTCTCCCTTTCTCTCTGAAATCAATAAAAAACTATATATATATGTAAAAAACAATTTCAAGTACATGGATTAGAGTTATATTCAGAAGCTTTAGCAATTTAGTTTGACTAGAGCCAATACCAGAAAAATCCATGCAAGAGAAAGCAAACAAAACTAAATAAAAGGCCCTCCTCTCCCGGCCTAATTTTATGGTTTGCTTTGGTGTGGAGACTCAAAGTCTACATATCCAAATCCATACTAGCAAACTCCATCTGCCCAGATGCTAACTATAACACACCTACCAACCAGAAGGTGTGTACAACTCCAGCTCAGTGCTCACACCTCCTCACCATTGTTCACTGTTCACAGAGCACTCTCGCACACCATAACTCACAGCCAGTGGCCGGGGCTATCTCCACCGCAGGGTTAGGGAAGGCAGCCTCCACAATAGAAGGCTCACCCCAGGTTCGGCTCGAGGAAGCAGCAGAAACCAGGGCCACTTTCCCATCCCCAGGAGCAGGCCCCAATTTTTCCATGTGGAAATAATGAGATGAAGAAACAAGTCACTGTCAGCATGCGCATGTCACCTCCTCTGAGTCACTTTCGCTTTTCAATTAAAGCACCTGCCAAGGTAAAGATTAGCTTCCTTCACTAGACCATGGACACCTTGAGAACACAGCTGTATCCTCCCACTTCTGAGACCCCCAGGGCTCTGCAGTTTCTGGAACGTGCTGATTAAACATGTGATAATAAATAAATGAATTCATTAATACGTGAAAGTACAAACTAATGAATTTACACTGTTGCTTTCCAACCCATATTTTGTCATTCCTACACAGTGCCACCTACGTTAACTTTTGAAAGCAGTTAAAATGCCAGGCGGTAACTGCCCTTTTAACAGATCGCCAAGAGATCTTCCACTCCTTAAAAAAAGGCTGCATGTCATATACAAATTCAGAAGTGGAGCGGGCTGACAGGTTAATTATAGACACAAAGAGTGGGACAAATGGACTATGAGGTAAGCGAGTCTAAATGTGCCTTCCCTGGACGAGCCTGAAAAGATTTACTGGGCATGGCCAGGTTCAGCTCTGTGCCAGGCTTGGGGGTGGGGGTCCAGAGAAGGAGGAGGCACAGTTTCTGCACTTGAGGAATTTGGGAAGACAGCCTGTACCTGCCATAACAATCAAAGAGGTCCCTGCAGGACAGCAGGTGGGAGGTGGGGGGGGAGATAGGGCCTAAGAACTCTTGACATCTGCCTTTTTTGGGAGGGAGGAGGGGGGAGGAGGGATCAGAGAAAACCTCCTCAGTCCCATAGCCCCACCTGAAAGGAAGTGTGGGCAGAGAAGCCAAGAGGAGGCCTCCAATTCTTTTCCCCCTGCACCTCCCACTGTATTCCTTCAGCTGCTGGCGGCAGGGACTTAAGTCAGAAGGACTCATAGGGATCTTCCCCTTCTCTCTCCACTCTCACTCCCCTCCAAGAAAAAAGATACTCTGGTAGCTGAAGAGGCAAGTTTAGGGTCAGCTTTAGCAGATGGGCCCAAGAATGGAAGGTGAGACCTGAAGGCAAGGCGAGGACACCAGGCAGTGCTTTTTGCTTTTATTCATTTGGTCCAAAAATGTTGATTGGCCGCCTGGTAGGAGCAGGCAGCGAATGTGATGACGCTCAGCGGAACCTCGGGCTTGCCTGTAGCCCAGACTCATGACCAAAGCCTGGGCCCCAACACCCAGGCTGGGTCTCCCGCGGCTTCTGCTTTATTTGAGGGCGATGGGTCTGGAGGTCTCTGACTGAACCTGGGCCCTTCCAAAGAGATGAGGCCCTTCTGAGAATGTAATTATTCCTTTGATTCAAGTATTCCCGGGGTTTCGAAAAGTGCTGATCGACTGATAATCCGGGAATGCCAGGAAGAAATATGATCACGGCCACTCCCGCAGGGGGAGGAAAATGTCCAAAAAGGTTTATTCGGGTTTTTTTTTTTTGTTTCCAAAATTCCGCCTTTTTCCCAAAAGGCATTATGGAGGTGAGACCTCGCCATGGATCAGGTCCAAAGGCTGAGAAACGAGTCGTTTGGGAGGTGTTTAAAGTTCATCTCACTGGCCCCAGTAAACTTCCCACCCACCCCACCTCGCTGTACAGATGGTCCGGGCGTTTCCAAACGACTTCGCCACTCTGAGACTTTGAACAACCGAAAG